AAAGCTAAAAAAATGCACCCCAAAAAATTTTGAAAATTTCATAATAAAATATTTAAAATTTCCAGCTTCAGCCGTTTTCAGCTTCAGCCGCAACATTAATTTTTTTAAAAAAATAAATTATATTGTTTTATTTTTTACAAATTTTTTTTAATACTAAAAAAATTAATAAAAATATAATATTTTTTTGAATAAATTTTATAAGTATATAGTTTAGCTTTTTAATTTTTATTTAATACTTTTTGATCAAAAACTTTACTTATTTTAGAATTATAAATATATAAAGAAGTTAACTGAAAGCAAAGCTTAATTCAGTATACAAACTTATTTAATATTTTTATATACTTGCTTTTTAGTATTTTATATATTGTTAATAACAAGTTTGCTTATACAAAACCAAAAGTATTATTGTATTTATTTTGTTATTTTTTTATATTGTTTACTATAAGTTTAATACAATTGTTGTTGATCAAAAATTGTTAAAAAAAGTAAATATTTTAAAATAAATATAAAAAATATTATTTATTAAATTATTTAAAATATAATATTAAATTAATAAATAAAATAAATAATGCAATATACTATTTATTATATATATTGTTGTATATTGTAAATTAAAATGAAATATGATCAAAAAACAGTAATTTTTTTTTGCTTCTTTTAAAGTCTATAAAACTCATATATACTGTATTTGTTTATTAATAATTCTAGTCCTAAACCCTAATTTTAATGCTAAAAACTCCAAAAAATAGTCTTTGAAAAATTTTATTTTTCTTTAAAACAAAAAAATTTATTTTGGATTTCATTTTAATTTTATCACATTGTATTATATAACAAATATTATACTATAAATAAGGTATTGCTATTTGCACCATTAGTTTGACCAAAGTTAGGATTAGTTTCAATCAAATTAATAGTGTAAATAGCAAAAATCATCATTACGAAATTTTAAAATCAATGATCAACATGTTATTTAATTTTAAAAAATAAATATCTACTTTTAACAATAATCATTACAATATACAACTAGATGTTTAACAACTTAATTAAATAACATGTTATACATTATATTCCAATATATTAAACATTGCAATATTCAATGAAACCTTCAATTTTCATTGCTTTTTTCAATGATTAACCCTGGGTTAATTATCTAGATTTAATATCTTTTTTTAATTTCGTAATGATGGTGAAAATAGCAATTTCATTATAAATATATCTTTTTAATATATTGTTATATTAGTGATTTTATTAGCATATTTTAAAAGATTTTATTAGTATATTTTATTAGTATAATTTATATTTATTATATGTTTATTTTTAGCTTTAGTTTAATAGTAAAATTTTTGACAAATAGTGTTAATTTTAGTATAATATTAGATATATTAACAGGTATGTTAATAGGTACATTAACTGGTACGTTAACTGGTACGTTAACAGGTACGTTAACTAATACGTTAACTAGATCGTTAACTGGGTTGTTAAAAGGGTCATTAACTGGATTGTTAAAAGGGTCGTTAACTGAGTCATTAACTGGGTCGTTAACTGGGTCGTTAACTGGATCGTTAACTAGATCGTTAACTGGGTCGTTAACTGGGTCGTTAACTGGGTTATTAACTAGGTCATCAACTGGGTCGTTAACTAGATCGTTAACTAGGTCATTTACTAATAGTCCAAAAGATATAAAAACCCTGCCTTTTTCTCCAAGGCAGAGCAGACTTTCCTGGCTCTCCTTTTAATATCTTAATAATTAGACTTTCTTGGCTCTCCTTTTAATATCTTAATAATTAGACTTTTCTAGCTTCCTTTTTAATGTCTTAATAATTAGACTACCTTTCTTTTCTTTTAATGTCTTAATAATTAAACTTCCTTTACCCACTTTTAGTTTCTTGTTATTTATGGATTATTTTTAATAGACTGTCTTCTTCCTACTTTTAATTCCTTGTTATTTATGGTTTATTTTCTTAGAAGTGTAGCCATCGCCTACCTTCTTCTTATTAGGTTTAATAAAGCTTTTATTATATTCTTATTGTGTATTTAAAGTTGAGCCATCGCCTCTTCTTTCTTCTTTGAGTATTTATTTTTGGTATATTGAGTTGAGCC